GAGATGGTTCTATGCTCCTCAAAACTTCCTGACCAGAGGCTGTTGGATGTAGTTTATCGTCTTACCCAGGACACAAAGAACTTAAGACATACTACCTTTTGTATCAGATCACCTCATATTTAGGTGAGCAAAAGTAAAGGAATAGATAGTCTTAAAGTAAATAACATTTAATATTTGGTTGCATAACCCTTGCTTGGAATAACTGCATCAATTCTGTGACCTATTGACATCACCAAATTGTTGCATTCTTCATTTGTGATACTTTTTTGGACTTTTAATGCGACCTCTTTCAGTTCTTGTTTGTTTTGGGTGATTTCTTCCTTCAGTCTCTTCAGGAGATCAAATGCATGCTCTATTGAGTTAAGGTCCAGTGATTGACTTAGCTAATCTAAAACTGTCCAGTTTTTCTCCTGATGAAGTCCTTTATTATGTTGGCTGCTTGATAAGCTTCCTTCTGATTAGTTTGGATGCATTTCTCTGTAAATTTGCATTGTTTCTGTAGACTACTGAATTCATTCTGCTGCTACCATCATGAGTTACATCATCATTAAATATGAATGAGTCTGTTCCAGAAGCAGCTATGCAAGTCCAAGCCAAGACTGACTCCACCATGCTTCACAGATGAGCTTGTATGCTTTGAATCATAAGCAGATCCTTTCTTTCACCACACTTTGGCCTTTCCATCACTTTGGTAGAGATTAATCTTGGTCTCATCAGTCTATAAAACTTTCTTTCAGAACTTTTTCACTCATCTCTGTACTTCCTTGCAAATTCCAATCTGTCTTTCTGATTCTTACTGCCAATGAGTGACTTGCATCTTATGGTATGACCTGTCGATTTCTGCTCTCAAAGTCTTCTTTGAACTGTGGATTGTGAAACCTTTATCCTTGCACTGTGGAGGTTGTTGGTGAGGTTACTGACTGTTGTTTTGGGGTTTTTCTTCACAGCTCTCTGCTGTTGCTTTCCTTGGTTGACCAGTTCTATGTTTGTTGCTCAGTACAACAGTAGTTTCTTTTTCAGGACATTCCAAATTTTGTTGGCTATGCCCAATGGCTCAGATTGATTTTCCTTCTTTTCTCAACTTCAACATGGCTGGCTTTTCTCTCATAGACAGCTCTCTTATCTTCATGTTGTTTTATCCTTTTTAACAAGAAATGCAGTCTTTATAGGTGAGAACCAAGGCTAAAATCAAGAGTTGTCATTCAGAGCTATTTAATGTTTAAACAATCAATCTAAAAAGTAATACCTGGACAACAAAACATGCCTGTGTTCTAATAGTTTTGCTCATTTGAAAAATGGATGGGTTCAAACAAAAGGTGGTATGTCCTAGGGTGTTTAAAACATTTAAATGTAAATACCAGAAAATAAAAGCCAAAATTATAAACTTTTGTCTCATATTCATCTTTTGATCTTAAGCCCAAATGTCTTCAGTGAATAACAAAAAAACGAGAAATTAAACAAGAAATTAGCCTTGCTGTTTCAATACTTTTGGAGGGGACTATATATATAATACACACACACACACACACACACACAAAATGGAAACATTTCATGAAATAGATTTCATGTATTTCACCATTCTAGGCTTCATCAGATACAAAAATGAAAGAATGAAATGTGTGTATGCTTAAATACTGAATCTCAGTACTTTCCCTAAGCTGGTGTTTCTCAGGAAGAAAGAAAAGGAGTGACTTTTAAAAAAGTCATTAATATTTATTCGGGTATCTTTTCTTTATAATTCTTAGTTAGTGTTGAATAGCTTTTTTGTATTAAATTAAAGCCAAATCCTCTTATTATCAGAATGGCTCAAAAGCAAGAAATTCATTTAGCCTTTTCTTAAATGAATCCAAAGCAAATCCTCATACACATACAAGGTGCAATGGGTAAATTGTCGCCATTTTATATTTTTAATTTTGCACAAGTATTGTTTGTTTTTTTTTATTTTGTTGACTATACAGTATAGTAGGGTCAGTTGGGCACTGTGAAAAAAAGAGCACCATGACGCAATTCACTATGCCAGAAATTTGTAAATGGCATGCTGTACTGCTTGGCACACAGGAAGCTCCAATACAAACATTTCAGAGTGTAAACCCCTTTGATTATTATATGTCAGGTCTAGTTGAGTGAGAGACCAACAAAACTTTTTGTAACACAAAAGATGAACTGAAGGCAAGGATTATGGTAGCATTCACCAACTTAAACAAGGAGACAGTCCAGAAGAGTTGCAGGAGATTCTGAAGTCACCTGGAGGCTGTGGTTGCAGCCAATGATGATTTTACTCAATAAATTTACTCTAGTATTTCAAGATAATTTTAGATGACAATTTATCCATCGCACCAATGTAGTTTGACAATTCAGTATTAAATAACTTGATGCCAAAGTTATGTAAATGTAATCAACCAAATAATCTTTGTCCAGAAAAACTTGTTAATATGTTCTGAGATATCATGGGCAGGATTTATTAATCAAATCAATCAAAAATTTAATTCAATCTAATAATTAAATATTAAACAAATCAAACATTAAAAGCATACTAGCTGGATTCATAGAAAGTCAATGGTTGAAAGTTGATATTTGATATATTGTCATTATATTTGGAGTTGGAATAAATTGTAAGCATTAATTAAATACCCATAGTCATATACTGCATATTGTATTATAATAATTATTTAAATAGCTTCCATCCTGGGTATGACAAACTACATCTGGCAGCAAGGCCTCTGAGCATGGAACCACATTTTAATTGCTGTTGTTACCAAGTCCACCCTGAACCAGGGTGGTAGCACCTGTTAAAAATAGGACCAAAGGACTAGAATCAAAACACTATGAAAATATAAAAAAAAAAACAGATTTTTTATAGTAAAATTACTAGCAATACATTTTTGAAAAAAAAAAAAAAACATTACCAGCAATATATTTGACTCAACAAAAACCCTTTTTACAAAAATAAGTCAATGAAACCTGATCAACAAACTGATATCTTACAAAGAATATATATTCTATTTATATAAACCTATCCTAAAAATCTTGTCAGCATTAAATAACTCATTCCGGTTGATATGCCATAAAAGAAAATAAACCAATCAAATAGCTTTTTATAGTTTTTGCTAATTTTATTACTGAAATTAATAATTTCAGGTCATTGTACTATTTCACTGAATAAGTTAAACACATAATTGCTTCGTCTTTCTTTCTAGAAACACATATGCAACTTCAATACACCTCAGAATAATGGATTGATTCATTTTCTACAGGTTATCAACCATTTCCAGGTTATTTGAAGTCAGAATTTTTTTTTTTTTTTTTACACAATGTAAGAATTTTTTTTTTGAGATAAGGGTTTAGTGATACAAGTCTTACTAATTAACCCACAGCTGAGGACAGAAGAGGTGGATTCATATATTTTCTAAAAGGTATTTGCGTGTAAGTGAATATAGTGAACCCAATGGGAATTGGAATTCTGCTCTCTGATTAACAATTTATAACCATTATCCATTACACCACTTGTACATCCAAGCTTATAGCACCTGATATTCAAATGTGGTCACCCATCTAGGTACTGACCAAGCCTGGCATTGCTTAACTTTGATTATATAGAAACTGGGGTTTCAACATGATGTGGCTGTAATTTTAATTTAGAAAGAGCAAGTAACTTTAGGAAAGATTTTTTTTTAGTACCTCATGCATTTTTTATTGTACAGTGCTTTTGTAAGAACTGCACAATAAAAAATGCACAAGGCTAAGCAGTCAAATCTACACAGCAAACATATCAACCTTTGACATCAAAATAGTTATTTTGTGGTCTGGGAACACTACATAAATCCTTCCCATATAAATTAGTAATTGCTGCTTATCCATTTTGGATACAGAAAAGAAAACTTGTAAGAATGTAGTGGAAATCAAACTTTAGAAAAATGGCCAAATATTTGTAGATCATCCTTGTTTTTTTATGAAGTCATTCCTCATATAAGATTGATACATAAGGGGCATAACATATGAATGGAACAAATGTGGAGATAGGATGAGAGGTTGGACACCTCACGATAAATTAAGGCAAGCAAGCTAACATCAAAGTGTATGTAATGAATTTTGATATTCATTAGATGCTCCACACATGTAGCCTTGTGCCAGCTTAAGTAAAGCTTAGTATATCACTGTATGTATAATGATCTGCCACATGGCTAAAATAGTTATACATTTTCCATCAAGATCAGTGTTGAAACCAAGGTAAAATCCAGTATATCAAATGCTGATTTTCTAGGTAGGTTCTTCCTACTTGGAAGATTGGTTAACTGTTTTGACTTCAGTCTGCTGTACTATGCTGAATTTAGTATATACCAAAGTCAGAATAATTGGCAGGTTGATTTTCTGGTAAAGAGAAAAAAATAAAATAATGAAATTTCTGTCTTTAGTTCTGGGATGAGTAGTTATCTGACATTATTTTCAGTTTGACTAATATCCTCATCTTTTTTGTTAGGATTCTGTTTCAGCTGCTATGCCATCAAATTTTTTTTTTCTAATGTCAGGTAAGTTTCAAGGAATATTTAATTAAACCCTTTATCTACTCTACAAAGGCAGATTATTCTCAGCTTGATGTCTATGTCTTTTTTACTATTGCTCAGTTATTGTTAGTCCTGTTTTTACCAAGTTTGTACTGCCTGGCTTAAGCATTGAACTCACAATTACAATGTCACCAAATGCACAAACTAAAACTTTAATCCCCTAGGTTAATTTCCCTAAACATGGTCAATGGAATGAGAACAATCTACCTAGTAGATTAAATAAACAGTTCACTTTTCAAATTCCCTGATGGTTACTTGGATCAACAGATATCTGAAGAAGGCTAGAAGGTACAATAGCTGAAACATGATAAGAAAAATGAGAACATTAGTTCTTCCTACTGGAAATAATGCAAATAAAAAAAAAGAAGTGGTTTTCAAACAGGACCCTCAACAAATTTTCCTACAAAGAAAAAAAATGTAAGAAAAACTTGATATTTATCAAAGATAGATAGGGTACTGTGAAGCCAAAAATTTTGGATTTTTTTCTTTCTAAAAATGCAACTACTCCTTCACAACATTGTATCTTCTATAATATACTGATTTTTTTTTCCTTTTGATAATGGAGTTTTTTTCATAACTATCATGATTAACTGCCCTGTGTGTGTGTGTGTGTGTGTGATTATGTAGTTTTACAGTACACTATATTTATAGGTTAAAAATGCTCTATATCCAGGAAAAAGCATGCATAAAAGTAAAAAGTGTGGACACTGATGTCAACAACAACTAGTGACAGTGTTTCATGCCTGAAGATTGCATTTGAGCATGAAACCCTGTTGCCAGTTGGTGTTGAGATCAGTATCCACAATATGTAAATATTTACTTAATTAATTTTAATGCTTAAATAATAATGTAAAAAAAAAAAGAAAAAAAAATGAAATACAATTTTCCAAACTCAAAAGACTAGAACACTCAAAAATTAATGACATGTCTAGAAAACCGGAAATCAAATGGCAACAATTGAAAGAAAAGAGGAAAAAAGAAATGGTTAAGGAGTGAGTGTAACAGAAGAAAAAAAAAATGATGAAAAGGACAAATCATGACATTCTACACATGTGCACAGATGGGCACATGCTCACACATGTACACTATGAGAAAAAAAAAATGTAAAGTGCATATAAAAAACAAAAATCAAGTATAAGCAGTCAATTGCTGATAGCCCCTGATGAGTGGACAGAGTAATTTCTGGAGCATCCATCTACAAAACTTTGTAGTCTGAATGCTGATGTGACAAACATTTTACTTGTAAAAATTATACATACACACACATTATATATATATATATATATACACACACACACAAAAATATTTTTTTCTTCTTTCATAGCATCTGCATCTATTGAAGAAGTTTTTTTTCTTTTTTCATCATAGGTCCAATTTTGTTGCGTAGAAAAAAATGCCAAGTAGGCTTTCCTTTCAATGTTTCCTGAGTTTGTGAAATATTCATCAATGCAAAAGAACTTTCTTGCAAAACAAATGAGAAAAACAGAGCAGGATATTGCCTCCATTGTGACACCCAGCACTTCCAAGTTGTTTCATGCATTATGGGCAGTGATAAGGATATCAGCGAGTTAAGTCTTATCTTTCCTCTTAATAAGTCCTTTTCCTTTGATTTATTTAAAATCTGTGTTGGTCTTAGGTCAGATCAACTTCTTTTTTTTCTTTTTTAAATCTAATATGCTTAATAGCAATATAGCAATGTTGATTCTTATACTTTGTTAAAAGCTTACCATTCTCCAATATATATACATATGAGAAAAAAAAAAAAAAAAAAAAGGAAGAAGAAAAGTTTTCTGGTAGCCTCCTACCAAGTGTTGCTCATCTTGCCATGTCATCATATCTATTGACACACAGTACTCATAAAAGATGATGGGATCATTTCTGTATAGAATAGAACTTATATATATATATATGTATATATATATATATTGAAAGATATATACTACTTCATAACCAAAGTAAATATCATATAAAAAGAAACAAAAAAAAACAATGAAAAAAGAAACAAAAAAATGTTACCTGAAAGATTTTTCTTTCCATGTCAATAAAATGATCGTCAAGTATTCCAGGTAAACGTTGATAATATAATAAATTTTTCAGAGTTGCTTTATGTTTGGGATTTGCCATGAGGAATGTATAGGATGAAGCTACAGCTTCTTTTATATTATCCAACTGAAAAATAAAAAAAAAAAGAAACATTTTATTAACAGTAAAATTTTTAAAAAAGACACATTCAAACAATGGTCTACTTTAAAATCCTTCTCCATAGGGAAACTATTTGAACATTTTCTAAATTTTAGCAATATTCCCCTCACAATATAGCAACTGAAGTGGGAGAAATATTTTATTTTATTAAAGTTAAAAATATTTTCTTCATTCAAATCAATACCTAATTTTTTAAATTTATTTTAACATTTATAAAAGTATATCCATTGGGATTTTTTTTTTTTTTTTTAACGTATTGGATTCAGGTTATATTTTTCTTTTTTTTTTTTTGCCACACTTTATTTTTTATCATTTCACCTCAAGCAAGGCAATAAAGCCACTAGGATGCAAGAGGTTACCGAGTGTTAGGGAATATGAGAAAAACTACTATTAAAGAAAGATAACAATAAAAAAATAAGAACAGAAGATAATGATTGACATTGCATTTAATTTTTTGAAGGTCAAAGTTGACTGGAAAGCAAGAAGCTGGAAAAGAGTTCCAAGTGAGAAGTGCAATAGAAGAAACTGTTAGCATATAACTTAATGTTACATCTAGACATTTCAACTCTAAAGGAGGAGACATTGCTGCCAATCTAATACTGTGCTTAAATTCATAAAGTATAGAGGAAAGTTCATTAGAACAATTACCATCAAATATTTATAAAAAATGTGGTGGGAAAGGGACTGAAGCCAAGATGCCAGGTCAGGACCAATAACATTGCAGATTCTTTGGATTTTATTAAGAATCTCTAAATATATAGCAACATCACCAGACCAGATTTAGCAGCAATGTTCAAAGCAAAGATGAATGGTAGACTTCTAAATATGTAAGATAGACAATTTTTCTCACCAGAATCTAACATAATGAACCAACTTTCTTAGCTGCAGATTTAGCAATTGATTCAATATATTCTTTCAACTTCATGTCAGCTGAAGTAAACTTTATCCTGTAAAAGTTTATTTTGTTGTAGCCAACAAATTACTGGTAATACATTCAACATAAGCAGAGGAAGAATGTTAGCTTGTAATGTGTTGTCAACCTTGGATTATAGCCCTTCAGTTTTGGTCAATGAACATCTTCCCCATTAATCCAGTCTAAGAAAGGCATGTAGGGAAACAAAAGGAAACTATCTCCTTTTCATGAGAATGTCATGAGGGTCATGTGATAGCCAGTGAGGGTGGTTGTGATTTTTTTTACACTGCTTATTGCATACATGTTATAATTTCTGTATAAAACAAATCATATATGTTTATATAAACATATGACTTAACATCATAAAATTCTCTTGGAGAACAAAGCATTTTTGTCATTCCTTTTTCTTTCAGCTATTCTGTTCTGTACATGAAAATGGGCAAGCAATAACTGAACAGTACTAAATAAAAATAAGAATAGATGATATCCCTAGATATGAGCAGTGGAAGAAGAACAGTCTAACCCTATAAATCAAATAAAGGGTTCAATTTGGAATTCCCTGCAGGTTACCCAGATTGATATACACCTGAAGAAGGTGGAGAGCACAATGGCTAAAATGTGATAAAAACAACAAAGATGAGGACAATCGAAATATAAAGTATAAATAATGATAATTCCTCCTCCTAGAAATTCAGATAAAACAGTCTTATATAACAATTTCTAATGGTAAACAATAAAAACACATTTGATGACATTATGTAAATATCCAACATAGCAGTGAACAGAGATAGCATTATGTGAAGGGTTCAAATACCCCAAAATAACAGTGAACAAGTGAAAAAATGTAAACTAACCCGGAATTCAGTGATTAAGCAAAGAATTTAAAATTTTCAATTCAAATTTCTTTGTGCAACTTTTAGTGTTCAATTTTCCTTGAAAAACAGGAAAAAATAGATTATCTATGGTCAAGAATTAATACACAAATCTTATGATGAAACACACCTATTCTATAGTTAATAGACTCTCCCACCTAATATAAGTAGGAGTAGTAAGAGAAACGAGGTTCAGTCGATGTCAGACGACAGTAGTCAACAGTCGAATACGAAAGTAGTCAGCAACCACAACAAGATTACTCTGCGATTAAGTAAAAATACTAGCCTCCACTGCGAAATAACTCCACAACAGAATCATAGAGAATAGAGATAATATATTTCATATTTTTAAAATATGTTGTTTTTTTTATTGAGATTCAGTAAAACATAAATATGGAAGAGAAAATATTCCTTGAAAATCAGCATTTGAAATTCTGGCTTTTAGCTAAATTTAAATATCACAACCAACAGTTAGAAATGCACATCTGTCTTAACTATTACACAAGCCATGCACACAGAATACAAACATTTGTAAACATCCTAGTTATTACACATGTGAGAGAAACCCAGGCATTCTCTGACACATGCTATACAAACATTACACATTCAGAAGTGTTAAGTTTTTATTGAGTGTATATTTATGACATTTATACTGACTATTGTCAAAAACTGTCAAACTTTTTGACCCATACACCTGTTAAGGCAGTGATATCATTTAAAGAGATTCTTTACTGACCTAATTTCTTCCTCTTCAAACCCTGCAACCTAAATATAAACCCACTTTTTTTTCCCCCCCCAAAGACACTACTTTATATCTAAAGTGCTTAGGGAAACCATATTACAGGTCCTTCTGAAAAATCAGAAGTTAACACAAATGTCTCTTTTTATGACATCTCTTATTGTGAAAGAGATATGTAAAACAAACAAAAAAGATTTGAAGACATGTTTTGTTTTTTCCATCTCTAGCCGCATTTCAAGAACCAGTAATATTATACACTTTTATTTTTTATCTTTTTCCAGTGTATGTATTGAGATCTAAAAAGCCTTCAGTATTTTATCCATTTCTACATTAAAAGCACAAAGCCTTTTTCTTTGTATTAAAATTCATAATAGAAACTTTTTTTTTTTTTTACCAAAAACAAAATTAAACAAATGGTGAGAAAATGAAATAAAAACAAATTGAAATTCTGTGTATCATCATATTGTCTTACTTTCTTATTGCTTTTTATTACAAAGTTTTTATGTTGTTTCTCTAATGAGAAGATAAAAAATATGATATAAAGCAACAATAAAATACCATCATATGACAAGTAATACTCAAGCAATAATACTAATAGTAATAATAATCATAATAAAGAGAGTAACCCAGAGTGTTGTGATAAAAAGCAACAATAAGATGGAATCAAACCAGTGATAGAGTAATAACAGTGAAAAGGTTTTATCTATATAATTTCTTATCTCTTTTATGAAATCTTATCCATTCCAGTTACATCTTGAAACAGTTATCATTAAAAAGTAGGAAAGATATTTGGCAAAAGATATTAGATACAGAAAAAAAAAATATGAGTGAGGCATGATGGGAAAAAAATTAAACATCTGCATAATTAAACTGATATTTTATTCTTTCATTGTATATAGAGAAATATTTTTTTAAAATATATTCATTTGTCAACATACACATTTATAAATTTAAAAAAAAAAAAAAAAAAAAAAATGTAGACATATTTAACACACACTATATATATAAAAGAGAGCAATCTATAATATCTAGTTATATACCCCAACCTCCAGATGGTGTGTGGAGTCAGGAAATAAAAGCTACAAAAAGGAAAACTAATGTAGCATAAGAAAAAAAAAGGGGTGGTAGTTCTGATATCTTATTTTATTCTATAATGGAAAAAAAAGAAGACTGGGACTGGTTCCCACAGTGATAATAGGACCAAAATTTACTGTTATGTTTACAGTGTTGACTATATTTTATCTTATCTTCTTCAAGAAGGAGATTCTTGGCAAGAACCAGTTTTTATTTGCTATCTTGTTCTCAGCAAAATCCACCACCTTGTCTTTGACTCAGGTTATCTTTACAGTGCAAGTTTGTGGCTCCAAATCACTTTTGTTAATGTACTTTCCATTAAAAAAAAAAAAAAAAAAAAAAAAAAAAATAAAAAAGTTAGGGAAGTTATGGAATAAATCACTAATTCCTGGTTGTGTGCATTCCACAAATCCCTGCATTTGTAGAACTATATAAACAGTATCTTTACAAAGACTTGCTCTTATAAAAATTGCATTTCAATTTGAATATTCCAACTTGCCTAGTTTCACAATCTGCTCTCTTGAGAACTTATTACTTGCTGAATAAACATTTATGTTTAATATACCAATGAAACCAGTAACCACAGTGTTTAACATCCACTATAAAAAGTTTTCAGGTTTTAAGCAGAAAAACTATTATTCTATATATAATTATTATTTGGGTAATGTAACAAGGAATTGATGTACAGTGTTAAAATTATCATAGTCCATATGGTTCACTTTGCCCTCATGCTCTTGGAAAAGCTATGAATGCATCTTCCTCCTGTTATGGGTTAAACAGTAGGGTAGCCTGTGCTCTTTTTTCTTGGGCAGCAACTAATCCAGAAGGAAACATAAATAACTTCTTGAAAAATGTATCACCCCTTCAACATGAAGCAATAATTTGGAAGCTAGCAAAGCTGATTAAGATTAGGAAAAATTCAATCTTGAGCATGCCACACTTGTGGTCTTGTTTCATACAAAGATAACATTTATTTGTCAGACATAAGAAAATGAAACTTAAAAATTTCAAATTCACATTAGTATGAAAAGGAAAGTTACCAAAGTCTTAAAAAAAAAAAAAAAAAACAGGGTTCCAAATAGTTTTTTTTTTTATCTTCATATTAAGATGTTTTAATCTGATTCAGTGACCTTTGCATACCAAGGCAAAGATATGTGCCATGTGAAAAATAAAAATAAAAAAGTGACTGTTGACCAGAGAAATATGTTAGGCTATATAACTGAAAAAGCAAATTGACAGCACCCAACTGTGATGTTTCCACAAGGTGTAAGAAATTTGAGGACTATTTTGAAAGTAGGTTTTATTTTCACTAACCAAAAATACTTGCTCTCTTATTTAGCAGAAAGAATTTTATGATTCAACTCAATAT